AGAAGCCACACACTGATGAGCTGATCTCTCTCTTACCCTCTCGTCTTATCAACATGCCCCTTGAACGGCAAAACATCTGATTGACACAGTGTGCTCCTTTTCGCTTCCCTTCTCTAAACTCTGCTGTTCAGGGACTGATATCATGTCACATTAAGGTACTTACACTGCATGCATTTAAAAAATGCATTTAATAAAAGTGTGGCTTTTATTTTTGCCTCCAGCTTTAAGGGCTAAGCTATACAAGCAATTGTAATCACTTGCCACACAGAGATTTACCCACGGTCTCTTCATTAAGTTAGAGCAGTTGTCGGCAACTCCGGCCCTCCAGCTGTGCTTTCACTACAAATTAACTACAAATCCCAGCATGCCTCTGCCTCTGGGAGTCATGCCTTTAACTGTCAGTCTTGCAATGCTTCATGGGACTTGTATTTCCACAACAACCAGAGGGACCACCCCTGAGTTATTTTTGCTAGTAAATAATAGCTAGGAGTAGCAATAAAGTGCTAAACAAAAAAATGGCTTCCCATGGATTACGCTACAAAAGTATTAAGCCATATGTGTCTTGTAGTGAGCAATCATACTTGATTGGGGCATTGTGTTATCATGCAATATTGGCCACTACTACTACCACTACGACTGCTACAAATCTCTTTCAAATCAACTAAATATATTATATGGACCTTGCCAGAACTTTCTGAAGGTAACTGCTAAGAGGGAGGTCTGTTTGACCCAATCACAGTTCATTAATTCGTTCATTCATTTAAATGCGATTGCCTTGAAAATATTCCACCAAAGATGAAACTCCCTATTGCAGGGGATACATGCAAGCTATGTACAGATTATCAGGAAAAACAGCAAGCCAGTCACATGAACAGGTAGATGAAAATTCTGGGAGGTCCTGTACACAGAGTACTGTTACCATGTCTACAAGGAAGAAATGTTTAAATTTTTTGGCAGTTTGAAAAGAAAGAGAATTTTTGGGCACATTCAATTACAAATAGGCTTTTCAGCAATTATATAACACATAATTATTTATAATCGTATATTTATATATTTTTAATATTAGTGTAGTTTTGCTTTAATTTCTCATGGGCAGCCTTTTAATGTTTGACATCCTTGAAATGTTCTTCCATCTGCTTTCTGTCCATGGCACAAATTGCTGCCCTGTAAAATGTTACAACAAATGATGCTGCAGAATGAAGACGTGGCTTTGTGCATCGGAGTTCATCATTATATTTGCAGTGCTGGGATGCAGTCAGTTTGACATTAAACGTGCGCCAGCCAAGTCATATGACTAAGAAACCCCTCACTGTGTGTATTTGTGTTCCTTGCATGACCTTTGTGAGGACAGCTACATGCAATTCCATCCACACGGTTTACTGATTCCCTTTGTCAAGTTATCAAAAATAAAATGTTTTAATTAATGATAGTCGTAATAATTTGGTATAATGCCATAATTTTCACTGGGTCCTCTCTAGCAGATGGCTTAACCTTTGCCTCTGTTGCCATGGTAACTAATGGACATAATTACTGTACTTTGTGTGATAGCATCGCTTTAAGTAACAGCAACTAAAAGGGCTGCAAGATTAAAATCTTGTGCGACACAGTCAGGGTATGTAGAGGAGACGGTCCGGCTCTTGTTTGCATGTTGGGATTGTACTTACTGTTTGGGGGAGGTCGATAAGTAGCTTAAGATGTAGTAGCGTTTCTGCGTCTGGGAGACATGCTGGGCCTGACAAGGATGCCACAGTTTTAATCTGTAAATTGCACTAGCCGAGCCTGCTGGGACTTCCAATAATGTGTTTTGATGAGATGTTCCCTCTGAGTTCACCCTCAAACCTAAGGATGGAACGAGCAATTATCAATTAGCTCATCAAATCTGGCCCTCTGCCTGCTGCGCTCCCAACACCGGGGATGTTCAGAAGGCTGGAGGCCGACTTAAACTGTCATTTATTCTTTCGGGGCTAATGCTATTAAAGGTTTCACCATTATTTGGTACATCCATGTGAACACGAGTGAAAGGTTATATGTTTCTGTTTGCATCGATTGATATTTTGCTACAAATGTGAGTCTTTCAGAACATGTTTGTAAAACGTCAGACGAAATCACAGAGTTGTAGCACAGGCACTGCAAAAATCCCTTTTAAATACTTTTGCTTCCATTGCCAGGTAATCAGAGAAGGGAAAATAGAGCTCTTCCTGTAGCAATGGCATTTCGTGGTCAGAATGGTGGTTACCCCGTACACTCAACTTTCCTGTTTTCTAAGAAAGTTGCCCATACTTGCAGCAGGCCAATCGGGATGTTTAGGGTGGGGGCAGAAAGGACAAGGCAAGCTCCAATACAATCTGAAATAATTGGATCTGTGCCTGTTCTAAACAGCCAGCATTCTGTAGCAGTGGGGGATATGAACTATTGCAAGTATGTGCAGGGATCTCTAAAGGGTCTATTTATAAACAATTCACAAAATCTGTGAATGTTCATTTTGTGAGAATATCGACAAAATAAATCTTATGTTATATTTACTTTTCAGGTTGAATGCATTGTGATGTAATACTTTATTATGGCCAGTGAGTGGAGCTGAGGAGCATAGAAAATAAGTATGTACTGTATATCTAAGATCATCCTCAGCTCCATTTAGTGGCTATACTGCAGTATTACATCACAATACATTTGACCTAAAAACAAAATATATTAAGAACTTTTTTTTTTATTTGGTCTAGTACCTACCGCAACCTGTGATTGGACAGGGCCTTGATACAATCATTTTCGGGCTCTCCTCACATTAAGAAATGTGCAAAGCCATACAGCCTATTGGCCCACATGGCTAGCCACTACTTCTCCTTGAACCACACTTTTAACAAACTTGGATGATTCCTGTAATGTAATGACTTGTGCTGCTCACAGTTTATCAAACTTCCAACAAACACTACACCCATTCTATGTGCTTCTAAAGAGGATTAGAGGAGATTGATTTATGCTTTATCTTATTGTATATATCCCATAACCACACAACCTGCAATCGTAGGACAGGACTCCAGTTCTACACTTCAGTAAAGCACTGTAAACAACTCTTGCATCTTTCAGTTATGAAGACCACTTCTCTTACTTTGCTTTGGAGTCCAGGAGGAAGAGGTGGAATGGGTGTACTTTGGACCACCAGACAGTTTGCATGACACTGCATTAGCGGCCTAGGGAAAAGTGTTTGTCATTACGAGGCAGCCTTTGTGCATCAGAGATATTTAAGCAGTCTTTAATTGCAATACCTGATCCATATTATTTTATTTTCCTTAGGTGCAATGTTTGGCTTTATAAAGTAGAACTTTGAGTATGCCTAGATTACTGAAGTGAAAATAGCTTCAGTGAGCTAAGTGAAAAAATACCTCCTTTGGTTGATCTGCCCCAATGGACCAATCTAGAAATATAGTGAGTCTCATTATTTGGGAGATTGCTATAGTAAAATAAACTACCGAAGTCAACATACGTCTATTTGTAATAACTGAAGACTATCAAACCTAAATCTTTAGCACCACTAAAAGTGATGAAACGGGGGAAATTAAAATAAGATCTGGCTTACTCTACTTAAAGCAAAGCTGTACCAAAACAGCTACATACTTTGTTGAAATGCATTCTATTTGGCTGCCAAAATCCTGTTGGTAACATAAAGAGAAGACAACACTTCTGTTTCTATTCCCTCTTTCTTAGCAATCTCTTAAATGTTACACTTTTACCCGTGTGGCCCTTTCTCTTTCCCTCCACTGTGATTTTAAGGATACTCAAGCCCACTGTGGTCTCTTCTTCCTCATCTCTCTTCTCCTTGTCTTCTGTCCAGCTCATTGTCCCAGCTTTTCCGCTCTGTGTCCACTCTCTCTTCCTTTTTCCAGCTCCTTTCTCCATCTTCTGGTGTCCCCTCTTTTTCCATCTTACCATCACTGTTCTCCTCTTTTGCAAACTCTCTGCTATTTCTCTCCAATGTCTCTTCTTTCCCTTCACCCCAACATGTCATCAGTATCTCCCTCCTTTGTGCCAGCTCTGCTCTCCTTTTCTCTCTTGAGGGTGCAAGAGTAAAGAATGAAGAAAATAACAGAGAGAGAGAGAGTACCTTTTCTGTGCACACTCTGTTTCTCTCTGTTATTTTCTTCATCCTTTACTCTTGCACCCTCTGTTCCTTATTCCTAAGTTATTGATGCCTCCGGCTAGTCCTGTAGTGACCTTGCTCTCTCTTTATCTACTGTCATGTAAGCACCACTGCATAAATCCTCTGTGCTTGTCTCTAGCTCTTGTAGTGGAATTACATGCCTGAGAACAACTGTTAAAACTAAACAGGCAAGTATAAAAGACACAAATGAATGCAGCTATGTATTCATTAATACAATTAAATGTATTTTGTTAAATGCATAGCCGGAGAGAGCAGAGTAACATAGACACAAGCTAATAAGTGTCGTGCTTCTCCTTCAACTGTCAAGTCACATTCTGGGGGAGGGACAAGACCTGTAAGTATTACCTAACTGTAGCAGAGAAAACCAGGTCTTCTGCCCTGCCAGACAGCTGCATAATTCTAAAAACTGGATTAACAGAAAACCAAATTATTTGGACAGGTAAAATAGCTCCCTTTCTATGTATTTCACTTGCATATTCAGCTGTTTGCTTGGAGTTTAGCTTTACCTACATTTTCATTGAGGGAAGCCTGTACTGAGAATAATGCATAGATTGACATTGTTGACCTAAAATGCCAGTTACCTGTCTCTTACTGATCTAGAAAATATATACACATCAGTAAAATCAGAGGGCAATCAGAACTCCAAGTCTGCATACTTGTTCCAGGTCAGGGTTTTAGAAAGTACTGAAGACAGTGGCGTAACTATCACCATAGTGACCCTCACGGTCGTTATGGGGCCTGGGGCAGAGGGGGGCCAAGTCAGGAGGCTGGGGCCCAGCAGCTGAGGTGGAGGAGGCTGGGGCCTGGTGGCAGCGGCAGTGGAGGAGGAGGCCAGGGAGCGGCAATGGCAGTGGAGGTGGCTGAGAAGGCCGGGGCGCGGAGGTAGAGGAGGCCAGGGCCCATCAGCAGGTGGCTTGGGGCTGACAGGTAAGAGGAGCGCAGTGTGCAGAGAAAGGGACCCCGACCAGCCCACCTGGGACCCTTCGGAGCCCACCATAGGAAGTATATGATGGGCTCTGCAGGGTCACTCTCAAGTGGGTTGTGCAGGGTCCCTGGTATGTGTGGGGTCTCAGGTGGGCACTGAGGGGTCTATGGTGAGCTCTGCAGGGTCTCAGAAGGGCTCTGCTGGGTCTGAAGTGGGCTCTGCAGGGTCACTCTCAAGTGGGCTGTGTGGGGTCTCAGGAGAGCTGTGCAGTGACTCTGGTATGTGCAGGTTCTCAGGAGGGCTCTGCAGGTTTCTCAGGGGGGGCGCTGTGGGGTCTATAGTGGACTGTACAGGGTCTCAGGTGGGCTCTGCAGGGTCTCAAGTGGGCTCTGCAGTGTCTATGGTGGGCTCTGCAGGGTCACTCTCAGGTGGACTGTGTGGGGTCTCTGATAGGCTATGCAGGGTCTCTGGTATGTGCAGAATCTCAGGTGGGCTCTGCAGGGTCTATGGTGGGCTCTGCGGGGTTTCGAGTGGGCTCTGCGGGGTCTATGGTGGGCACTGCAGGGTCACTCTCAGGTGGGCTTTGTGGGGTTTCAGGTGGGCTCTTCAGGGTCTCTTGCATTTGCTGGGTCTTTGGTGGGCTGTGCAGAGTCTATGACCGGCTCTGCAGCAGTGAGCGGCAGAGTGATCTGCTCTTTGGGGGGGGGTCGGCAAACAAAATTTTGCTATAGGGCCCTGTAATTGCTAGTTACGCCCCTGACTGAAGCCACTGGATAATTATTGCAGCCAAGGAAATATCATCATCAGAAGAAGAGGGCAGCAATGAAAGCTGGTTGAAATCCTTTTGAAATTGACCTCCTTGTAAAAATGCTTATTATCTGGTTGTCTTTGTCTTTTGGCTCTTACAGAGTACTGGGCCCTGGTTGGGCAAAGTCTTGCACCTGACCTGTGGCTAGGTGCAAGGCTTTAGCCAATCAGGGCTCACAAGGCATAGTGCCTTGCGGGGCGCTCGGCGGATGAATAGCCCGCCGAACGACCCTGACAATTTGTGTGTTCGCCAAACACACGAACTGCCAATGTTCGAGTCGAACTCATGAACATCCAGCCCATGCCTATTGGAAAGAACTAAAGCAATCGGATTAGTATGACAGCCACTAAACTAGTATTTTCAGGACAGGTTAGCAATGGTATCTTCTATTCTTTCTCATTACAGGTTTTCTTTTAGATGCTGAAGTCAAAGTAGCTAAGTGCTAAGCCCCTCGTCTTTTCCACTTAGTGTGGACTGACTGATGCAAAAGAAACCACACCTCTACTTCACACAGTTGGACTTTTATATATGACTTTTATGCATTCACTCTGCTCCTTCTATAAAATGTTCCCCTACCTAACCTACCCCCATGATATGCTCCCTATGGTTTCTTCTCCTCTCCCCTGCTGTCTTTGACCTGTTCTCCATGACTGCTGTTTTTTGGATCATTAGGCCCCCATGTGGCACATTTTTCACCTCTTGATCATTTAACCAGTTAAGGACTTTGGTCATTATTACTGGGCCTGCTCTGCGTATCAGTAGTGCTGACAGTGACTCCTGTACGAATAAAGGATGCAGTCGTTGAATTGTATTCATGGATACATTATAACAAGATTCCCATTAAAGTGACCAAACATTTTTATGAAAAACCGGCACTCAGATGTGAAAAGTACAAAAGAAACTGATTGTAACGTAATTACAGCAACCAGGCAAAGGAATAAGAATTTTGCAGAGACTGCTGTAAATCCAGAATCCATTTCATTATGTACAGCAGCTTTTCAAAGCTCATTGGGGGAAGTGGATTGTTTTATGACAGAAAATAATTAGAAAATGAAATCTTGATTTGTTCTCTTCCATTTGTGCACTTCTCCTCTAGTTAACCCTTCTGCTGCAGACCGGTAAGATGCTTATGTAATGGTGTAATGGTGATATTGTGGAAATGTAGTCATCTTGGTATCTTATGGATCTTGTATCATGAAGTACTTTCAGTTGGCTTTATGATGTCTTAGATGCTTTATAGTATTAAGAGATAGAAGCACACTTATTGAAAATTGCTTAGAAATTGTTTCCTTTGCAATCTGTATTTAATATTTATTTTAAATACCCGGACCAAACAATATCAGCAAATTGGTAGGCAGAGTGCATAGGAAAGTTACAGAGTGTATGATTGATGGCAATATAAAAGTGTGGATGACAATCAGTTCTAGAGTGAAAATATGAGACCCACCAAACATGGTCGCATATGTATAAATGGCCAAACCACTGCATCAAAACAGTTCACAGATGGGACATTTTTCAGCAAAGTGTATATCTAGCCAGAATGTTTTTTTTGTTATGATGGAATGTGGAAGGGTTAGAACCTTTTTTGTTTTTTTGCTGATAATAAACCAAAACAGGCAGCACACCAATAATAGATCCTGGTGAAATATTTACTGAATTCCCCGATCAGCATGGAATATACACCAATGTTTTGAAGGCATGACTGCCTCCTCCTCCTATCTCTGTTTGTTACCTTGATAAAGGGTCCCGTTGTGCCCTCAAAACATCAGAGTATTTTTTTACTGGTATGGGACTTCAGTAAATCTTTCATCTCAATCTATTATGGGCAAGCTGTCTGGTTTGTATTATTATTGGATTTATGCGGCACCAGCTTTTGAAATTGAGCTACACTCTCTTATCCTTTACAGTTAAGGAAGGTGCCATCTTAGCCTTTATTTGGATTGCAGTTGCCATGGTGCTGCACACCATGATAGGCTATGACACAAGCCATTTGAGGGCCTTAAAGGACATTTCCACCTTTGCAGGGAGCATTTAAAAAAAACATATGCCAGCAATGCACACATAGAGTAGATGATGCTAGTATATGATGATCCTGGATAGAAGCACAAATACTTACTTTTTTTAGTTGTTTTCTCAGTCCTCTTGTGTGAAAATGGCCTCCTTGTGCTGTGACTAGAGTTCAGGATGTTGTGCTCAGTTAGAACTACAATGTAGGCGTGGAAACTACTTCTCCCACAATGCTTTGCTTCTTGTGCATGTGCTTCTGTGGGAAAACTCCCCCCAATTCATTACTATGCATAGTGGCCACACCTCCTGGGCAGTGCAAAGTGATCATTTACAACCATTGTAAGCTTCTGTCCAGTGTGTCATTATGTCTGTAAAATGTAGAAGTCTGTGGTGAAGACATCATAGTTACAAAATATTACAAGCTAAGTAAAGTTTTCTGGCAGCATTTATATTTGGACCAATCCCTTTAGTTCGACGTTTTCACTGTATACAAGGTTTTTATTACTGTGTGTATCCCAGCTGGGGAAAATCACCACCTCAATGTGTCCTGGTGATGATGGATACCAGGACAGGAAATGGTAGAAAGGTCAAAATTTTACAATTTTCACCGTAACATTTGAAGAGGGCGAATCTTCCAGTTATAGTGACAATTGACTAACAGGGGATTTCCCCAAATGTTGGAAAGATTTATTCTCATTTCCAGCTTTGTGTCCAGGACCAGCAGGATAAGCTTATAGTGTGGTCTGTAATTTAGTGATTATAGACTTTGGCAGTTATATTTTCTGTCTTAAAGGAGAACTATGGGGTCACGGGTTTTCCCCATAGTTCTCCTTAGGGTAACGGGAGGACACAAACTAGCGTCCTCCCGTCACCCTAAGCTCAGTATACCGCGAGCTACAATTCGTGGTATACTGAGACGCCGCAGCGGATCCCAACATCGATGTCGAGATCCGCCCAGCTGCGTGAGTGACAGCTGGCTCTGCCTATCTAGAGGCAGAGCCAGCTGTACCCGCCCCCTCCCCCGTCCGTTCCACCAGTCAGCGCTGGCGGATCGGAGCAGGGAGGGGTGAATCCATCCCCTCCCCTGTCACGGCATAGAGCCGTGACAAGATCGAGAAGTGAGCGAACACCGGCATGTGTTCGCTCACCTCCTGATCTACTGAACTGACCTGTGACAGTCTCATTGTCACAGGTCGGCTAGAACTATGAGGTGAGTGAAAAGCACTCACCTCATAGTTCTCCTTTAATGACAGGTCTTTCATTATGCATCGCCCACATATGACTTGACTTCTTTAGAGTTACCGGATACAAGGAGGAAGCAGGGATATGCAACTCACACTGCAAGTATAACCCAAGCTTTGGCACAGATATAAGGAAACAGGAGAACTGAACTTATGTAGAAGGATATACAGTATGATCTCATGTCTATGGAGAGCACCCAACCCCCCATTTTGGCTAGCTACAATAAAGAGGAGGGACATTGATTAGACAGTTTAGAAAACTTGCCCCATCACTATTTTCCTCTCTGAGATAAGTGGCATCATTAGTGTCTGCCAACAGCACTTATCTCTTTCCACAACCCCTCCACAAGCAACGTTGTTTATCTGGCCACCCTCTAATTCCATGGGTGGACTATCATATGTAACTCAGGTGTTGAGACTTCTTATATTGAATCTATTAAACAATACATTTATACTGATTCAATGCTTTGTCTGAATAGTTGCTTTAATATTGTTTCATTCTTGTCCAGCTTCTCTCTGACTCTAATGGTGTTTTGCAACTATGGAGGAGGCGGATATTGGTTCTTCCAGCACGCTCCTTGGAACGGTAAGCAAGATGTCCCATAAAAAAACAGCATCACAGCCCCCACAACTAAGAACCTTTTAAGCAAATCAGTAATCTCCTTATTGATCCATAAAAGAAAAGGAATTAATATGGACCACCATCAACTTAGTAGGTAGGGGTATTTAACAATGAACTCTGTGTCTTAACTTCATAAAAGCCACTTCGACAAATCAGCAGGACTATATTGATCCTGAAATAAGCTTGAGATTGCTAAATGTATTTTCTTGCTGCACTGAGGGCCATTATTTGCTTGATCTAAAATTTATTTGTTTAACCCTTGCATTCCTCTAACCAAGCTGGTGAGGTCAGTGATCAAAGTTTTTTAGAAAAGTATACTGTATATCAGTCTCAGTTTTCAGTTCTGCACATCATTTCATGAATATAATAGTTCTTGCTATTTTTTCTTACCTGTAGTGCTCGAGGCTGGATGACCATTTATATTCTCCAACTCTTCTCAATGGATCACTATGTACAGATTCTTTCAAATATTACTATCTAAAGCAGGGGTAGGCAACCTCGGCGCTCCAGCTGTGGTGAAACTGCAAATCCTATCATTGGGAGTCATGCCTCAGGCTGTCAGGGTCTTGCGATAACTCATGGGATATATAGTTCCAAAACAGCTGGAGTGACGAGGTTGCCTACCCCTGATCTAGCGTGACACAAATTCAGGGGGTTATAATTGGGTCATTGTCATTTTTTCAGGATAAACGTCCCGTTAAATATAATGGCTGTTGCAAATGATCATAAAGATAATTCATATACAGATTTATAGTCCTGTCCCTAGTGGGTTTCTGAATGTCAGGTAGTGCAGTCATAATCTTTGCTGGATGACTGCAAGGAAAGCAATTGTGGTAAAAGCCAACTAGAGAGCATTGCCAGATCTCTGACTTACACTGATATAATGTGAGCAGTATCAAACATGACACTGTACTAGTAAACAGAAATCACAGCTTTAGTGTTTGGCAAAGATTTTTTATAACTGAAAAAGTGGGAAAAAAAGCCCTGCATGCTCTTATTTCTAAACTTATCCTAACCCTTAGACTGACAATAACACTTTACCCCCTGACCTGAAAAACATAGCATACCCCTAAAATGAACCCTTAAAGATACAGTGTCACTGTGCTCATGTGAGGGTTCACAGGTCTAGCAGCCAATTGCTGAGCACTGTCACATGACTGAGTCAGTGAAGTCACAGCTCCCTCTGGCATTCAACACCATCCAACACTGGGTAACAGTGTTTCTTTAAAGTGGACAGGTATCAGCAGTATTTTTAAGTTATGTGCACACATGCTAAGTAGTGTTCACAGGGGCGTTCCTAGACATCTTGTTGAGGCTGGGAAGGGGGGTTTTCATTATGCACTTTTGGGGTAGGGGGAGCGGATTTGTTGCTCTTGGTGCATACCCAGGGGTGGAGGGTCAGTGTTGGCTTGTGGTGCACATACTTGTGGGATCATAGTGCATGGTATCCCAGCCAGCACACTGACATCAGTGGTTGCCAAATTGCTGGGCAAAATACCAGCCAGAGTGTCCCACTCAGCTCCTGGCAACCATGGACGTTAGTGAGCTGGGCAGGATGCCGGCCAGAGCATCACAGGTTGCTAAGAGCTCTTAGCAACCTGTGACGCTCTGGCCGGAAAAGGGGCAGCAGCCCCTGCCAACCCCCACTTGACCCATTGAGATGCAACCACCTCAGGCTGGCTCATTATAGGGACAGCCTTAAATGTAGCACTTGCAAGTATTTATTACCTCTCATGGAGATCAAAGTACTTCATCTGATTTTCTCTCCATAACAATGGCGCCACCCTTGTTCAGTCATCAACCAGGAACAGTGTTTACTTTCTTGACTTAGAATGCTGGCTTGATAGACAGATTCAGCAGATATGACGCCTACCATTCAAGATGGTGCTTGACACATGACTGAGCCCTTCTTGTTTTTATTGGAAACTAAAGGAACATCGAGAGATAGGAAATTAGATCATAACCAGAAATAACATCACAAGCATTATACCTAATACAACCACCTGGTGGCAGAACAGTTAGTCACAGTATAATATATGAGAATGATTGTTGCATGTATTTCTGTATGAACAGCATGCTAACAGGCTCGTAGATAACTCAAATATTATTCTGTGCAGATGAGGATTATAGGCTAAAGTGCAGCAAAATGTGAAAGGGGTTCAAAAGCTTGGGAAGTCTCCATCAGTCGTGAATCATTGATACAATTCTTGTTTCACCATTTATAAACAGTAAATGTATCAAAGTGATTGGTTCTGACGGATGTAACATTGTCTGTGTTAAATATACAATGAATGCTACTGATATGGATATCCAACCAGAGAATGGGATTGAGAAGTTAGGTGATGGACAGTAGATGTGGCTCAGTAGGGTGAGACAAGTATAAATGTGTAATTAATGAATGTGGCAAATCTGATGCGTTTGGCAAAACTGATAGTTTACTGCTTAAAAATATAGCTCATAGTGTTTGTCTTTAGAATAAAATGAAGGGGTATTCAAATATTTGTTACAGCTTACATAAATGTGTGGATATTTTCAAGTACCATATATTTGAAACTATTAGTGTGTTTTTTTTTATATATATGAAATCACTCTACTTACTGTTCTTGCCTTTCCCAGTGCCTACATTGTGTAAAATGTTCTAAAAGCCAGTCTGACATTTGTTTGTTGCAGGTCTGACAATAGCAGATTTGGTGATGCCATGGTAAGCAGCCTGTTGGGATATTTCTAAACTCTATGTTTAGTGGATGTCTGCACTGTAAAGAGAGTCTGATTTTATGCAGTTTTTTCTATATAAAAAAAAGAGTTATTTCCTAAGAAGAACATATCCTATAGCCATACTGTAATTATGCACTGACTGTGTGGAAAAGGATATTATTACTTCCTGCCATCATCATTTTCATTATTAGTCTAGGGGTGATATGTTCCATCCGCAGATAAGGGAGTAGTCATGGTTTGCTGGCTTGTTAAAGCTGAATTCCAAGGTAACAGCTCAGTACTATACACTATTGAAATATACAGTATAGCTTCACTGTATTTCTGTACATCCAGTTCTTCCAGACAGCACAATCTGCTTGCTGACCTGTCCTTTCCCTACTGCAGTTAAGCAAAACAGCTAGGTCACTTCTTTGAACCAGATTGTGATTGGACAATAAGGAGCAGGAGCAGCCTGAAGATGACTGCTCGCATTGCTATTTTCACCTGTCTGCGCATGTTACCTTTTATCACATGTGAATGCAGTACACCCAATTGGCTCCTACTGCTGCCCCTCTTTCCCAGTCTTAATCCTGCTGTAAAGGGAATTTCAAAAGGCTTAAATTCAGATTTATTTAAATTTGTCTATAATTTTTTTATTAAAACCCAAATTGGTTTGTCATATATACTTGGCATGCAGCTTTAATTCATTATTTAGAACACACAATTGAACCTGCTTTGGGCAAGTACAAGGGCCGGTGCACACCTAGGCGACACCCCACTGCGTACCTTTTTTCTGTGATACACGACACGTGGCTGTTTTTCGTGTTCAGAAGCACGGGAGGAATCGTGGCGGGAAACCATGCAATCCGCCCGGCGCAACTGGGGGGCCATTGGAAAATAATGGCACCCACAGCGCGATCGGTGCACACCTGGGTGGCATCGTGCACAATTGATGTGCAAACCTGGGCGACTCCTGACTGCGCGGCAATCCGCAAGGAATCGTGCACGATTGCCATGCGGTTGGGTGTCGCCTAGGTGTGCACCAGCCCTGACAGACACCACCAGGTCATCATTTTATTTCCAGAGATGGAAGCCTTTAAACTAGGAATACACTGAAATATCAGCGATCAGAAGTGATCACTGAATGTTTGCAAATACCTGAGGAAATAGTACGCTTACTGTGTCCCCAGTTATGAATGAATAGGAAGTGCTCTACATCGCTTCCTGTTAATTTATGATTGTGGACATAGTAACTGATACTATCTTCTCAATTTATGAATGGACAGGTGCAGTCAGTATAGACACTTCCTGTTCATTCATAACAGGGGCTGCAGAAAAAAAAGAGAATTAGGACTCTGTGTCTTCAATCTCTTTTTCTATTTTAAAAGGAAACAAGTAACACCTGATATTTCCCAAAAGCCCCTGATAGTAAAGTAAAATAATTAAAAAATAATCAAAATCAAATATTAAAAATAATGTAAAACATTCAAAAAAGCTTGGGAAAAAAAGTCATTTTCGGTTTCGGCCTGACAATCTTTTTTTTTTTTAGTTTTGGTCTAAAAATTTAATTTCAAAGCATCCCTACTTTAAACCCAATGCACTCGGTTATGCAAACTGCACACAGAGCTGACATGGTTGTTCTTTGTCCTGCCCTCTCCTGCCACACCCTAAGCCCTATTGTACACTGAGGTGCCTGCTACATTTAGTGGCCAGTAAATAGGCATGGGGAACTATGTCCAACTATGTAAGCTGTGGTTGAATTAGTCTTTGAAGATTCTGTTGCATTCAGCTCATAACATTTGAAGGTTCCTGGTCCAGTATACACGGAAATACCTACTTTATGATGATTCAAGATGCCACAGGTACACTATCAGGGAAAATAAACTTACATTAAATTATAGCAGGCCTGTATATGGTATCTTTAGGAGTTCCACAGCTAACTGAAGATATTTCATGTTTGGGGATAGCAGGTTAAGGTAGATGTTCACCTGGGACAACATAATTTTTATGAAAATAAGTAGACAATTGGCAACCTAAAAATAACCACATTGGCTTTGGGTGCAGGCCAATCGGTATTCACCATTGCCCAGTAAAATGGCTCCTGAAAGAGAATCCATAGCTTTTTATTGTATTTAAAAAATATTTACTAGGTTTGGGGGTGATAGTGGGGTGAGTAGAGCAAAGGCAGGGGTTCCTCTTTAAAGTGATACTAAACTCAGGTGATAAATCTTAAAAATGCATTCAGGTACCCTAACTAATAACAAATTGTATCTTATTTGTGTATCACTCAGCTGTAGATCCTCAAATCATCTCTGAATTCATGCTGACACTGTCCTCCTCTCTGGAGGGTGGCTACGTTTGTTCCCCATGATCCCTGTCTGTATAGTAAAGTAGCCACAGCTCCAAGCTCCCTCCCATGATGGACTACAATCTCACATTCAGTTTGCTAACTTGTATTGAGATTGTAGTTCATCACGGGAGTGAGCTTGGAGTGGTGGGTACTTTGTAACATAAACAGGGACTATGGGGAACAAGAGTAGCCACCCTCCAGAAGGATGGACGGTGTTGGAATGAATTCAAAGATGATTTGATGATCTACAGCTTGGTAATAAACAAATAAGATTTTTGTTAATAGTTAAGGTACATGAATGCATTTTTAGGATTTAACTCCTGTGTTTAGTGCCACGTTAAATGATTCCTTATTTAAGCCATGAGGGAAGAGTATAAGGGTGGCCAAGACCAGGTATCCAAAATACTGCATGAGCTCCAACATAGCGCTGACAGGCAAATTAGTCTGGCACCTCCACTTTCTGCATTGATTTGAGGAAATAAAGAAAACCTTACATCAGACGCTGATAAAATGCCAAAATACAGAAGGCATCCTAACCTAAGTTATAGAAGAGCGTGACTGGAATGTGCGTTTGTGTTATAGCTGGCTCAGTTATGAATGAGGTCTTTTCTAGAAATGAAATATCAGTTTTATCAACTCATATCTTTCTAGTCCAGATTTTATATTTAGACCTTACTGAACGAATTCAGATTTGATTCATTTAAGCAGCAAAATAATTATTCCTACCTGTACATAGTGGCTTCCATTAAATGCTTCATAGATGTTGTAACTTCTATTACTTGTAGATATGCATGGCCACCAAGGGAAATCAACTTCCAGAGCACAAGTCAGTCTGTGGTTGTGCACTGTAAATGAGCCCTCACTCAGTCAATGGACATTGCCAAACCCCTTGAGAGCCCAGGACTCTGCTTTCAAATGGAGATGGGAAGCCTGCCAGCCTATTGGATGGTGGAGGGGGCTAGAAGCCTAGATCAGAGGAATGCCAAAAATGCAGAGCTTTCATCTTTCCCCTTAATGACCACTAGCAAATATGACACAAGAGATGAGCCCTCTCTGTGTGATTGCGGTTATACAATAAACAGCATTAAGTCAATAATGTGATTGCCGTTGATTGAATGGGTCGGTAGGAAAATTATTACCCACTTTACAATCCATTAACATCCAGACACACATTATAGGGACAGGGCTGCCAGTTTAGAAAGTTGCTTACATCTATGTTATTTAGAGGCATTTAACATCTTCTGGCATGCAATGTACTTAGTACAGATATGTTCATGATATGGATTTGTCCTAGATGATGCATACAATTGTTTTCTTCTCTCTCTCTCTGCCTTTGTTGCGTCCCATAATCCACTGTAATGTGACTGTAGCAAGGGTAAAATGACATTAAATATATAAAGCTCCACATTCTCCAGGGGCTAGACGGGCCCAGCATTTATTCTTTTCATTACAAGAAAATGCTATACCTGGAGCATAAAAATTACCACATGGGACATTTGAGGTATTGTATTTATGTAGATGTTTATGATTCACCACTATCATAAATAACTCCCATTGTTTTTTAATAATACTTATTTTCGCCTTTGTACCATCCTTTGTTGTATCTCAGTGCTGCTGATCTCCCCAAGCCTCTTTGCTGCCACTTCCTGTCTACATATATGCACTCCAGGGTGGCTTTGTGCCATTTCTCAGGGTGGGTTTCCCCGTGGTGACAAGAGTAGACTGTGCCTCTGTAGAGTGTCAACATGGCCACTTGTAGTCTCCATTGGCAATACAGGAATACAACTGAGTGACACTGATAGAGCTTTGATACCCTATTTGTTACAGGTATTGATATAGTACTGACAATTTACACAGTGCTTTACATGCACATTCTAAGGTCCCTATCTCACATGCATACATAGAGGGCAAATTTGGACAGGAGCCAATGACCCTACTAGCATGTTTTTGGAGTGTGGAAACCCATGCAAGCCCAGGGAGAACATGCAAATTAGTGATCCGGCTACAATTTGAACCAGGGGCCCCCAGTGCTGCAAGGCAGCAGCACTAACCACTACGCCACTGTGCTGCCCACAGATGGAATAGAAGGAATAGAAGGACGTGCCTGAAAAAGGACATTAATGGCAAGATGACCAGGGAATATTTTCATAATTGCTGCAGATGTGTATATAAAACCTACCAATGAGCTTCTGTTATTTTTTTGTTCTGGCAAATATACTATTAGAAACATTTTATATCTACTTGATAAGTGCAAAAATACCTGTTGAGCATGTCAGGAATTCAGGTCTGCCCTGTGGTCTCTGCAAACTTCCTGTGGTATCTCAAAGAATTCTCTTAGTTTTTATCTTGGACTGGAGAACTATTAGGCCTTACTGTATATGGTAGAGATCTTAAAGTGGGAATGGCTGAGTAGTTTTGCAAAAGACACTGGGCAGGGCTGACACTACTTAGTCCACAAAAATGTTGTGTGTTGCCAGCCCACAACCAGGGCTAAAAAGCTGAGTGCACTTCAGACACATCAATAGGGTCTTTAAAGGGATAAATATGCATGCATTGCAGACATGTACTGCATTTTTTAAATTTCACCTTGACATACACTTTAAAAATACTAATAATGACTTTTAAATAGGGATGCACCGAATTACTGGCAGCCAAAACATTTCAGCTGAAATTTTCGGTTTCAGTATCGACTGGACACATTTTGAATTTTTGGCTTCCGCCACAAATTTTCACTGACACTGTCCTTCCTTCTGGAGGGTGGCTACTTTTGTTCCCCATGGTCCCTGTGTGTGTGTTGTAAAGAAGCCACCACTCCAAGCTCACTTCCTTGATGGGCTACAATCTGAATACAAATTAGTAAACTAAATATAAGATTATAGTCCATCCCGGGAGAGAGCTTGGAGCAAAAGTACAAAACAACAAAGAACAAAGAACAAAAGTAGCCACCCTCCAGAAGAAAGGGCAGTGTCAGCATGAATTTAGAGATGATTTGATGATCTACAGTCGAGTGATCCACAAATTTTGTATGGGGTCCCTTTGATCTCTAGTTACACCCCTTGCAGAGCCCAATTCAGATCCCACGCAGCCCACCTGAGGGTGACCCTGCAGAGCCCACCATATACTCTCTAAGGTGGGCTCTGCAGGGTCACCCTCAGGTGATCCTCCACTGCTGGGTCCAGCCTGCTCCACAGTCGCTGCTGGCTCTCACTGACTCAGTAGCGGCTGTGGAGAGGAATGCGCCGCTGCACAGATCACTGTCAGTGATCTGAACAGTGGCACATTTCTCTTCACAGCCACCAGTGACAGCCAGCAGCCTGAGATGCCAAAGCAACTCAGGCAGCCCGTAGAGCATCAGGAATGTCCTGGCCGGGCCCCCCTGTGCCCCGGGCCCCATAGCAGCTGCCTAGGTCGCTATGGTGATTGTTACGCCACTGTACTTGAATGACTTTTAAGTTTTATCTCCTGAGTTTAGTGTCACTTTAATGTGCCTTCCTCAGTCAGCAAGAGGCTGTGTTCACTACTCTATGCTGTATGCAGGTGTCACTGCTCATTGACCTCTTACCACTAAACACATCTGGAATGCTTCTTGAAGCCTTTTAGTTATGCCTGGTTCTCTACAAAGTGTCTATTAGCACTGACAAGAAACACGGAAAGCTGTGTACACAAAGAGAACAATTTGTGGTATGGTAGAAGGCATTTTGTTCACTTTTACTAGGTAGACAGAACTAAGCAGAACAGTAACAATGTGAGTATAGGCTAGAAAAGATTCCTGAAGCAAGGTGGAATAATAATGTAAAAACGTTAGGTTGTGAAAGTTACCTGATATTAGGGTTCTTTTTTCAAATACTGCATTCTTTTATTACAGTACAAACAGTTTAATATATCTGCCCTGCCATAAAATATGTGTTTTACAGATATGTATACAATTATTTTTTCCCCCAGGTTTGTCTTCATCATTGGCACATCCGTGGCTCTGGCATTCAGCTCTTTGATGAAAAAGGGAGTCCATCGGTTCCAGCTTCTGCGCAAGCTAACATGGAGGACATGTGTACTTATGGCCATTGGAGTTTTCTTCATCAACTATGGACCAGCAGATGGCCCATGTAAGTTGAATCTGAAAACAGATTCTTGTAACCCCACTTTGTGCAAAACACAAAGGCACTTTTCCATAACACCTGGAAAGTTAAGGAAAGAAATCTTGTTCAGCCATATACTAATACCTATTTTTTCCTTAAAGGATTTTAATTAATATTACTGGAATCACAGACAGTGATTGCCATTCCAGGTCATGTGCACATAAGCTCTATGGACCAGAAATTGATCTTTAATGAGCAATTCATTTAGCACCAAGTGAAAACAATCAGTAAGCTACTAATAGGTTTAGCTATAGCAGTTATCTATAAGTAAAGTTCGCTTAGCTAAACGTTCACTGAGGGCCCAATCACCCCGGATCTGTTGCGTTGCAATCCATTTTTCAACAGATGCTTATGTAAGGGCACCAAAAAATGAATGGGTGTGAATGGGGGTTGTTCGCATTAGCACCATTCTGTTGCATTGCTCTGAAAAATAAGGTTTTCAGAGCAAGAACATCACTACTTTTTTCAGTGCAACGTAACACAATGGAACCAGTGTGAACTACCTCCATTGACACCTATTCATTTTTCGAGGTCGTAACGCAATGGATTGGAAGGAAATCGGGAAGGTACAATTGTAAGTTGAACTTCATTGAAGGCTATTGGAGCTGAAACTTGTAAATTTTTTCTGGCCTTTTGTAAGGCCAGTTTGCAAGCTACTGTTAAAAAAGGGCATGGGTAGCTGGGCACTACCATGAGGGACATGAACCAATGCCAAACTTTTTTTTTTTTTAAACTCCGTTTAGTGGGGAGGTTTTTTTAAACTTATGGTAATACACAATTCTTTTAAATAACATGCTTGGTAAATGCCTTAAACCTGCACATGACATTGCGTACCATGGGCATATTGTATACGGAATGTACAGCACAGTGTACAGAATGAGGCAGTGTGAAATATAATATGCACAACTAGGTGTATAGAATACATATAGAATAGACATATGAAATGAGTTTGTGTGGTATAGGGAAGAGGAGGTGCAAAATAGGGTACATACAGCATGGCAAATGGAGAGTACTAGCAAAGATATTACCTTAATAGAATGATTGTGGCCCCCTTCAGACCTCCATTAGCGTAGACCCGCGATTGATTGCAGTGACAGGCTAGCCAATTGGTCCCCCGGTCAGGGTCCCAATGTTGAGAAGAGGTGTGTGCCTCTTTAGTTATATTGTGCCCCTTTCAGACCTACATCAGTGTGGATTCACATGGATTGTTGTGGCAACAAAGTCGATCAGTCCCCTGGTAGCAGGGATGAGAAGAGGTGTTTGCTTTTTATGGTAAGGTGTGCCCCATTCAGTCCTCCCATCAGCGTGGACCTGCAGTGATTGCAGTGTCAGACAGCTCAGCTGTCACTTGTAAACAAGCAGTCGTGGCAGAGAGATACTTACATCACTTCATCTGCCAGGCTCTGCATTAGATGATGCTATCAGTTAGTGCCCAGTGTAAGTGGTGTAGCCTCCTCTGCTCTGGCTCTTTGTTTACATGTGGCAGCAGTGATCAGCAGCACTGTCACTGTGGGTCCACGCTTAAGTTAGGGCTCAATGGGGCAAAGTCTAACTAAAAGGGGAAGGGAAGAGCACTGTCCTGTCCCTGAGTGGTGCGGCACCCACCTAATGTGGTGCCCAGGGCATGTGCCCTGCCTACCATACCCTAGATATGCTACTGTGCGCACTTGTACAATATATATACAAAATCCATACCAGATCATTATCCAGAAATGCAGCCTGCCTGGCCAGGAAAGGGGGACAGTGAGCATGTGCTTTTTTCCACCTTCTCAGCCAAAAAAAAACCTAATAGGGTTTCTAACCATTCCCTATTCCAAACCTAATCCAAACTGCATAAAAGGATAGTTACAGAAAGTTTATCTTACCTTGCCTCAATCAATTCACATCACCTTTCCCTGGTTTCCATTTCATGGCCACATATATTATAATACACAATAATCTGTTCTTGAATTAGTAGAGGGAGAAATAGAATTATCTAGAAAGTGCTCGGTTATCTTACACTGTTTGCAACTTTCATTTTCATTTGCAGCACCCACCTGATCCAATCTGAGCATAGTTTGAGACAGTCTGGGGAGGAACAGACCATTCCCTTACTTTGGAGAAAATGGAAGGCAGTGTTTGTTTTTGTGTACCACTTCTGTGTGATCACAGCTGGTCCTGGTTGCTAAATGGTGAAGTAGACATCACACTGACCAGCATTTTTTCTGCCCACCTTAGGGCCGTAGGAAGGGCAGGGCGAGTGAGGCACTGGAGGCATGGAGATGCTGGGCTTAAATAGCCTGTTTGGTGCCACAATACGTCGGAAGTGCACATACCCGCGTGCCTGCACAATGGTGAATGCACTGTGGGCCATGCCATGCGTGTGCGCAATTACCTTCACACGGGCTTCCTGACACACAGCCTACAGCTTTTTCTTGGATCCCCGCTGCTCTCCCCCCGCCCCCAGGAAAATGTCCAACTCACAGAGACCTCCAACACCCGTCAATTCGCCTGCGCAGCCACCCCAGAGAAGTATCAAGCTCTACAACCTGCGGCAGTGTGCCTGTGCGGGCACCCGATGCCACAAGCCTCTGTACTTGCCAGTGCTTGCCATTCATTTAGAATAGAGGCTGCAGAAAAAGAGGATGAGGACTCTGTCCTCAATTACTTTTTCTATTTCAAAAGGGAAATCTCAGGGATCTGTTTAGACCCCTGATATTTCCCCAAAAGCACTGCCCCCCCCAAGAGTAAAAAAAACATTATGATAGAAAAATTATAATACAATTTTTTTTAAAAATACCTCCACATGCTGGAGGCTGGATGCCTGACATCACATGACATCACATGTGCACAGCATTGGGTGATGTCACTGACCTGTAGGGGGGCACAATTTTCTGTTCCGCGCTCAAAAGGAGCTAGCTTTGGCTCTGGCCGACCTCAACAACAGAGAGCTAGACTTCATCACAAAACATCTGCAGCTTAGTTGTGCTGAAATAATGACTTAATTACAACCAGTAGAAGATCGTGCAGTGGAAAGGTGTTAGATTCATTGAGGGTAAAATAACAATTTAATTCCATGTTCGGCAAATGTGAGAGGTGCTATGATACAAGCTGAGCTTAAGCTTCAGAAGGGGTCAGTTACTGTGATTTGAGCAAAGGCAGTAAAGATGATGTTTGGCCCACAGCCCAAACTAAGCTGCACATAAGAAAAGTATCAATATATCTCCACTATTCCATATTCACCTAGACATATAACATAAATAATTTAGTCAAATAGGGCCAATACATGCATGTGAGCTATTTTATCAGACAGGACTAAACTCTACAAACTACCTTTTAGCTCTCTATCCATGCATTTGTCTCTTCTCTCCGGTCTATGTAAATATCCTTTTTTTTTTAAATATAGAGCACACTGCTTGACACATTGTAAAACATGACTGATTTCTTCACTTACAGATAACTCCATGAGAAAGGAAAGCAGGTAATTGGTGCTGCTAAGTTTTAATTTATTATCACAGTGATCATGTGACCAGGAACCATGAATATTCACCCTACCCCCCCAAACAAAATCTTATTTTTTTCAAGACTCAGCTAGTTGTGCTGAAATGGTAATATAAAGAAAATGTTTATTAGAATTAAAGTTATATTTATTATTAATATAATACTTTTCTCATTTTATTTATCATTTTCCCCACTATAATGTGGTGACCACTCTGCAACAAAAGTGACAGCTATTTGGACAAATTATAAGACTGCCAAGGGTGCTTGATTTTCTATATCAACTATCTTTTAAGATTCAAACCATGGGAATAAAAGGTGACCTTTGTAAGCACCTCTGGCGTTGTTACACCTTGTTCCAACCCAGTGGAAGACCACCAAAATGGCCCTGTGAGTAGAACCATTTTACTGCCCAGGTAGATAGATCATAAAACCTTGAATTCTCTCGTGGTTCATAATATGCTAATTGGGTCAGACAGCCAAATTCCCCCCACACTTCCAGTCCAAATAGTGTCAAAACTAAATGGGAGCAGCAGTGTGCATGTTTCAGTTTTCAGAAGGAGATACACACTGTACATCACCATTTGGAGGTAACAACCCAGAAACATGGTTGGGACATCATAAAGTTTCACCTGTCATGAATTGTGCAGTATTCAGACACCAGGAGAGGGTCCCAGTACCTGCCACACCCACATCTGGCATAAATTGGCCCCTAAGTTTCAAAGGACCCTTGTGCAGCTTTGGGCCCCACTGCAAGAGGTAAGAACATTTTTTACCCAGAAATGTTCTTAAATTTGTACCTTTTGATTTTAGCGTGGAGTTCAGTTTTGAGTGTTCGAGACATTTTGCAGCAGTGCACATCTGAGTCCAAACACAGACTGACAACGCAAAAAAATAGAAGATGCAGAACATGAATGCATTGTCAGTGTTCTCCAGAGATACCTGCGGCCACTGGGATGGCAAATCTCAGAGCTATGAAGTCATCTATATTGGGAGAAAGACACGTGTGAGCTGGCTGCAAAATATGTTCCGCGTGAACTAATCTCTACTAGTTACCATATTCAGCCAAACCTATAAATATTGTAGGATTTTATGTTCTTAGTTATTCAGATATTATCCACTTTGCTTTCAAACCCATTTACACCCATTCAGCTGTTCCGACAGTTCATTTGCAGAAACTGACACTTAATGGGCATTGTTAGTGAGATGAGACTCTATGTCCGGAATACACCAGAGGGAGGAGAAATATTATTAGTGATAATGTATTTACTGTAACATTCTCTCGGTTTTCAATTTGCCTCTTATTATCCCTCTCTTATTGCTTTTTCCTGCATTATCCTGAAAGCTTCAGCAATTGTAATGAACTTTTTAATTTTTCCGTGGGATCCATACAGACAAATAATTGCAGAACTATTTAAACCTGGCCATACACCAGTAGAATTTAGTTTGAAAAAAATAATTTTCAGAACGTTAGTTCGATTCTCTACTAGTTAA